GGGGGCGGGGCCAGGCCCAGGGTGTGGGGGGCGATGACCTCACACAGCAGCACCTGGGGGGGGGGCCAGAGAAAGGGGCGGGGCCTCGTGAAATGGGCGGGGCCAACAGCACCTGGGGGGGGGGCCAGAGAAAGGGGCGGAGCCTCGTGATATGGGCGGGGCCAACAGCACCTGGGGGCGGGACCAGAGAAAGGGGCGGAGCCTCGTGAAATGGGCCGGGCCAGCAGCACCTGGGGCGGTACCAAAGGAGAGGGGGCGTGGTCAAACTCATGGGGGTGTGGCCAACAGAAAAGGGGCGTGGCTCCAGAAATGAGGCGGGACTAACATGCCAAACATTGGGTGGGGTTTAAAAAGGGGCGTGGCCAATAAAATTTGGGGGTGGCCATGTAAGGGGTGGGGCTAAACTATTTAAGGGCATGGAAATTAATTTTGGGGCGGGGCTAAAACCCTTGAGGGGTGGGGCTAATCCATAGTGGGCGTGGCCTGGAAGAGGGCGTGGCATGCTGCCGGGGGCGTGGCTTACCTCTCCGAACTGCCCCTCCCCCAGCTTCTCCCGGAAGCGGAGGCGGTGCCGGGGGAAGGACGGGAGGGCGGGGCCGTGGGCGGGGCTGTGGGCGGGGCCAGCCAGGGCGTAGGCGGAGCCTCCGGTGACGTCAGCCTCGGCGTAGGCCCCCGCCCCCGGCTCACCTGTGCAGGTGGGAGGGGCACAGGTGAGGTCTCTGTGGGCGGGGCTAAAGTGGGCGTGGCCATCCCCGTGCCCCGCCCTTACCGTCGGTGTTGATTGGCTTGGCAGTGGCGGGCGGGGCCAGGGCAAGGCCTCCTATTGGTCGGGCGTAGGTGGCCAGAAGCAGCCGATAGGCCGGGTTGGCTGGGGGGGCGTGGTCAGAGAGGGGCGTGGTCAGAGAGGGGCGTGCCTATTTGAGGGGCGTGGTTTCCCTCCCCCCTCCCATTCTCGAGGGATTCTGGGGCCATTTTGAGCCTTTTCCTCAATCCCAGACTGAATTTTTGGGGCAATTTCAGCCAAAATTGAAGCTGGGGAGGAAAATCCTCCCTCGCTCTTTTCCCCCCTCCTCTTTCTCTTCTCTTTATCCTTTTTTCCCCCCTTTTTCTTTTTCTTTTCACCTTTTTTCCTTTTTTGCTCCTTTTTTCTTTTTTCCTTCCTTTTTTCTTCTTTTCCCCTCCTTTTTCCTCCTTTTTCCCCCTTTGTTTCCATTTTATCCCTTTTTCCGCTTTTACCCCAAATTTTCCCCTTTTCCCTCCTTTTTTCCCCTTTCCTTTTTCCCCTTTTCCTTTTCCTCTTTTCCCCCCTTTCCCCTTTTCCCTTTCCCCCTCAGTTTTTCCCTTTTTCCTCCTTTTTTTCCCTCCTCTCTCACCAGCCCCGGGCGGCAGCGGGGGCGGTCGGGGCCGTGCCCGGGTGGGTTCCTGGTACTCCCCGGTTCCGGTTCCGTTCCCGGTTCCGTTCCCGGTTCCGGTTCCGATCCGCTCGTAGCGGGGTCCCCCCCGCGCCCCTCCCCCTCCCGTGGCGTTGTTGATGACCACGGTGTCCCCCGAGAGCTGCACCCGCAGCGCCGCCTCCGGCCCGCAGCCCTGAGACCAGCACAAACCAGTAAAAACCAGTCAGAACCACTTAGAAACAATTAGAACCAGTTCCGACCCGTTAGAACTGGTTCAGACCAATAAAAACCAGTTACGACCAGTTCAGCCTCAGTTAGAACTGGTTCTGAGCAGTAAAAACCAGTTCAACTCCTCCCAGTCCATTCCCAGTCCCTCCCAGTCCCTCTCAAATCCCTCCCAGTCACTCCCAGTCCCTCCCAGTCCCCCCCAAATTCTTCCCAGTCCATCCCAGTCTCTCCCAGTCCCTCCAGTCCCCCTCAAATCCCTCCCAGTCCATCCCAGTCCCCCCCAGTCCCTCCCAATCCCCTCCCAGTCCCTCCCAGTCCCCCCCCCCCCCCCTCCCAGTCCCCCCCGGTGACCTTGCCCAGCGGCCCGGCCGCGCCGC